AAGAACAGCTTTCAACAAATGGCTTAAAAAATTACAAAGTGGAATGCATTTAAAAATACCAGTAGTACAGCAGTCCTCGCGGGTCCCCTCCTGTTCTAAGACCTTTCTATCCTGTCAATAAATCCTGCTTTCAAAAAAATAAAAAAATAAAAATACAGCAGTAAAATCTCTTGAAGAATTAAGATACAGGCTAAAATTTAAAAATAAATATACTCTTTAGAAACCATTAATTTGCTGCTGACAATCTATATTCTTCTTCTTTGTTTTAATGGATGCCCTGTATGCACATCTTCTAGCTTGTTATCTGGAGGTTTTGGCACAGATGAAATTACCTAATTAAAAGAAAAAAGAACGATTAGAACTTAGTCTTTATATTACAAGAATAAACAAGCTGTTAGAAGAGGCAGGACATACACCCAACAGTTCCATCCTTGTCATCACTTTATATTTTTTTGAGCTGGAGTCTCACTCTTGTCTCCCAGGCTGGAGTGCAGTGGCACGCTCATGACCACTGCAGCCTTAACCTGCTGGGCTCAGGCAATCCTTCCACCTCAGCCTTCCAAGTATCTGAAACTACTGCCACATGCCACCACGCCTGGCTAGTTTTTGTGATTTATTGTAGTAACAAGGTCTCATCAAGTTGCCCAGGCTGGTCTCGAACCCCCGGGCTCAGGCAATCCTCTTGCCTTGGCCTCCCAAAGTGCTGGAATTACAGGCTGAGCCACCACACCCAGCCCCTTGTCATCACTTTAGAGGCTCAAGTTCAAGGTACAGCCTTGAAGATACAGAGCAGGGTTTTCTGTCCAAACATTAGTGGCAGTAATGTTTGTAAAGATAATTAAAAAGAAAAAAATTTGGAGAGAGAAAAGTGAACATAAACTGTACTTTAAGGTTTTTCTTTTTTTTTTTTCTTTTTGAGTTGGAGTCTCACTCTATTGCCCAGGCTGGAGTGCAGTGGCACACTCATGGCCACCCCAGAGTCAACCTGCTGGGCTACAGTGATCCTTCTGGCTCAGCTTTCCAAGTAGTTGGAATTACAGGTGTGTGCTACCACGCCTGGCAAATTTTTTTATTTATTTATTGTAGAGACGAGGTCTCGCCAAGTTGCCCGGGCTCATCTTGAACCCACAGGCTCAGGCAATCCACTCGGCTCGGCCTCCCAGAGTGCTGGGATTACAGGCTGAGCCACTGAGCCCAGTAGGTTTTGCCATTCTTGAAATACTGATTATGTTTAATAAGATTCAGGGTGGGGAGAATAAACATTTGGAGAAACAAACAAAAAATAGTACAATCCTCAGTTTCCTGGGGGGAAAATGAAAAACATATCATCAGAAGAAGAGCACACGTAGTCAAAGCAAGGCAAAACAGTCTTCATTTGAAATGGAAAATGATTTTGAATATTTATCATTTTTGTTCTACTATTTCTGTATCTAGAATTTGGATTTTATACTTTTTTCTTGAAAATGCAATCTAGGGCCCTTCAGGGCGCGCAGGCTATAGCTGGGCTCGGTGGCTCAGGCTGTAATCCCGCGCCTTTGGGAGGCTGAGGTGAGTGGATTGCCTGAGCCCGTGGGTTCGAGACCCACCTGGGCAGGCGAGACCTCATCTCTGCAATAAATCAAAAAATTAGCTGAGCGTGGTAGCGCGCACCTGTAATTCCGGCTACTTGGAAGGCTGAGGCGGAATGATCGCCAGAGCCCAACAGGTCGAAGTTGTGGTGGCCGGGAGCGGCCACTGCACTCCAGTCTGGGTGACAGAGTGAGACTCCAACTTAAAAAAAAAAAAAAATGCAATCTGCTCCAACTGAGACAGCTATGCATCTGTGTCTATGCCTCAGTTCAGCCGTGACCAAAGGATAGAAGTATACCAGCAAAATTGAAAATTTTAAGGCTTAAGCATAAAATTGTGTCCCTAGATTTTAATTATTATAAACAATCCCCCATCTTTAATCAGATAATGCCTTTTGGGCAAAAAATGTGCATAGAAGAAAGGAAGCTACCTTAGCCTCCCTTAATCACATTGTAAAATATGTGTACAACTATGTGAAAAGCACTTTCTGAATCTTGGAGTTAAATATAAGACCATGATTGTGATCCTCAGTTTATGATTTGTAAAGGCAGTCTCTACCCCCCCCCCAAAAGATGTCTCAAAAGCTAACTCAAATGTTAACTTTCTTTTATTTGTGTAGGAAATGGAAAATGATTATGTAAATAATGTAAAAAAAAGAAGTCTACCTAGGTAGCACAATCTAGTTGTAAGCATTTAAATTGTTTACATTTGAGATGCAGGGCTGAAGGGTCAGTTTTTAGAAACCTCATTGTCTTCTAGTGCTATCTTTATCACAGAAACAGATTAAGCATTTTAAATTTGACGGAAACCACAATAATATGAATTTAAGAGAAAGAATTTATAGTAGATAATATTAGAACTATCCGGTTAACTTTAAAACAATGGGGGAGGACTGGGCTTTACTCTGCCAGATTAATTGGACTGAAACTACTGTTTTAGTATTTTGTATTTAGAGTGATACAGACTATGTCTGTTCTTTGTTTAAAGCAAGCATTAACGGTATCAGAGCAAATGTAGCAAGAACTGTAGAAAAACACATCAAAAAACTAAAAAGCAAAAAAGAATTACTGTTGTTTCCACAAATCGTCTCTTAAAATCATTCTTAGAGATGCCCTTACCTCCTTAAGTTTATTCCGGATTAAACTTGCTGTTGCATTCAATGAGTCATCATGCATATCCACTGTAGGTGTGTCTGGCAACAGAGGTCCAATCATAACCTCATTACTACTTGTGCTTGTTTCAATAAATGTTTCAAGTTTACGATCATCTTCTCTTCTTCTTTTCCGCTCCTGCAGTTGTGTTGTCCTAGGCATAAATCTGTCAACTGCATCTGAAGAAATAATAGTCTTTTGTGTAACAGAGAAGACCACTGAGTTTTCAGAAGGGTTCATGTGTATGTCCTGCAAAGAGTTGTTGCAGTGACAATGCTCCACTGTTTCATCATGGTTTCTACCACCCTTCGAGAAGCTTGATGCTTTGTCCACATGCTCCTTGGCTGAACGCTTACATTTTGAGGCAAAATAACATAAAGGCAACTCACAAGAATAAGGAAGACAAAGATCCGAGCTTCCTGTAGAAGTGTTCAATGTAGCTGCACGAAATCCCGACACCTCTGAGTGGAAGTCTTGTCTAAAATCCTTTGTGTCTTTATGCTCTGCAACCAGTTTCTTCTTTGTCACAAAATGGTCTTTACATTACAATTTAAAAAGTGAGGGAAAGGGAAACAGAAATGGTTCATTTCTTGTTTTTTATCATCCAGAATAATGTAATTTTTTAAAAAGTCACTTAAGAAGTTAACAAATTGTACTCTAAAAAATTTAATTGAGTAGGGACTACATGCATGTGGTTTAAAAGCTAAAAAGGATAAGAAGGTGTGCAATGTTAAGCTTCACCCTTTCCTTGCTCTCCACAGGCCTAGTTTCCACTCCTGATAAGTAATCACTCTTCTTTCTTATTTAGTTTTCCTCCTACCTACCCCCCTTTCTCTTCCCACTAAAAAAGGTAACCTGTAATATCCATTTTGGTGCACCTTTGCATTTCCCACTTAACTGTGGATCTTTTATTTATTTATGTATTTATTTACTCATTTTGTAACCATACTTTTCTCAACACATTAACTGAGGGTTTTATAGAGTTTTTCCATGTCATTAAACAGAAAGTTGCTGCTGCTGCTTTTTTTTTTTTTTTTTTTTAAAGTTTCAGAGTATTCTACTACATGGATATATTGTGTTCAGCTTGTGTTAATTAGTTATTAAAGGAAGCCATAAGCTGGACCCACTTTTAGGGCCTGCAGGGGCCTCTTCCCAAAAGCAGACCAGGATAGGGTGTGCCACCAGGATGGGTTGTGGAAGGTGTGGCAAAGATGAAACTAACTATGTGTTGGTGACAGTTCATGTTAACACATGGGAGGTACATTATCTTACTCTCTCTACCTTTGTTATGTTGAAACTTACATAAAAATTTTTTTAAAAAGTGAGACCAAGTATACAAATGCTCCATGTAGATGCTAAAATGCTGCATATGAAAGACAGCTTAATTGAAGTATCCAAGGCCAAAGAGGTCATAGTTTAAAAACACTGTATCACGCTGCCACTTAAAGCTGGAGCAACACCGAATCTATTCTGATGTCGGGAGCAGGGCAAAGAGGGCTTAAGAGGAAGTGGGGCAAAAAAAAAGAATGCTAGGCTTCTATCACCAACACTAAGATAAAGAGAGCAGGGACAAAGTCAGTTCTGGATAGAGACTCCAAAGACTTGAGTTGTAATCCCTGCCTTGATCCTAATTTATCTCTACTGATACAGGCCAGTCACAAACTTTCTGAGCTGTAGTTTCCTCACCTATAAAAATGAGAACACAGGTCAGATCATCTCAGAGATCTTTCTCCACATTAATATTTTATAATTTCCTCTGCCACACAAACGTGTACAAGTTTTTCTGGTGCTGTTATTTACAAACCCTACAAGTGCACATTCAATGTCTAAAAATGACCAGGGATTCTCAACAGCTCTCTTGTTAGATTTCTCGGTCAGTTCAAGGGTATTCCCACCTTACTTCTCTCCTTCCACCACTTTCCATGGCTGATTGTGGAAGAGGCACATGGGATGTTGAACCACATGGGGCATTTAGCTAGCTCCTGGCCAAAAGCAGAACTTTTCTATGACTAGCAGTTGATAACTAGTCTGCAAATAATTGCTTCTCACTGCCTTCAGGTCAAAGCCTTGATTCCTTAGCATGGGACACAAGGCCCTTCTTGACTTTTCTAAAATGCTCTCTCACTATAACCTCTGTGCTTTGGTTATCCTATACTAATCACAGTTCCTTACATACATGATGCTCATGTATTCTCTGGGCATTTAAACATGCTGCTAGGCTCACCTTTCCATCTTTCTCTCTCTCCTGGGTAATGTCTACTTACCCTTCAAAACAGCTATTTCTCACATCCAGTAGGAAGTCTTCCATGAACCAACATCTCTCCCTTCCTCGCCTAGATTATTTGCTGTGCTGCACAGAAACCTGTGGTTTAGTTATTCCATACTGTGATGATTTACTCTCCTCTCCTGCTCTTGTGCCTGGGGACTGACTATACTATGGCAGAGTACCAGACATGTGGGAGTCATTTTGTTTGTTTGTTTGTTTTTGAGTTGGAGTCTCACTCTGTCACCCAGACTGGAGTGCAGTGGCCACTCCCGGCCACCGCAGCCTCGACCTGTCGGACTCCAGCGATCCTTTCGCCTCAGCCTTCCAAGTAGCTGGAACTACAGGGGTGCGCTACCGCACCTGGCTAATTTTTCTGATTTATTGTAGAGATGAGGTCTCACTAAGTTGCCCAGGCAGGTCTCGAACCCACGGGCTCAGGTAATCCACTCACCTCAGCTTCCCAAAGTGCGGGATTACAGGCTGAGCTACCGAGCCCGGCTTGGGAGACGTTTAGTAACAAAAGACTTTCCATACCTTTGTTTTTAGCAGTTCTTGCTATATATACCTTTCTTTCTTCTAGTTTTTTTCTAGTTTCTTCAACTGTTTCAAACTCTGGAGCATAGCACACATGAAGCAATCCACCAAAGAAACTCTGTTCATCCATTTTTCTCTTGGCTGTCCTGAACAGAAATGCACAATAGCATGGTTTACTAATCTAGGTTTATTTAGGATGAAAGTTTAACTGGCATACAATACACTGGTCTAAAGAGCAAAGTCCAGCTGGATTGGAATGAAGATACTCTGCCTGTAGTTGGCACTGGACCTGTTGATCCAGTATGGACTCTTAGAGCCTTCCCTCTCCTCTCTTAATACCGTTAGCAGGTTTTGAGCTAAGCCATCCATACATATCTAGACTCTCTTTAACCAAATAAGGACCCAGCTGGTTGGCTTGAGGTAAATAAACTGTGGCCATAAAGAGGAGCTTTTCTCTGTGTTAAGCTAAATGTCCTTGAGAATTAGTTCATATCCAATTTAGCCTTTTTAGCACAATGTGTTCCTATAATGGAAGTCATACATTAAAAAATTAAAAATGCTATAATTGTAAAACTTTCAACAACTGAGGAAATAGTGACTATATAACAACCAATCAATGAGAAAATGAGAAGAATGCTATTCGTTCAATAAATACGTACTGAATTCCTATGGATGGCTAGGTACTATAACAAACAAGCTTAAGTACTTCTGTATTCAGAGATAATGATAAATTCTTATTGAGATCTTAACATGTTCCAGGCAATATCATATATAATGCTTTATTTGAATTAATGCCTCACAACAGCCCTCTGATGAAACGGAAACACTGGGACATTATAAAACTTAGTCATGCTCATACCCTGGTTTGTGGAGCTGGGATTCAAATCCAGATGTTTGACTCCAGCGCCTACTAGATTAGGTTCTATAGGAATACAAACTCTAGAAAATATACTTGCCTAACCATGGGGAGAGGGCAGGTTGGTTAGGAAAGTGACATTACAGAGAACAGCAGCCTAACCATGGGGAGGGGGCAGGTTGGTTAGGAAAGTGACACTACAGAGAACAGCAGCCTGAGAACAGTATATGACCCAATAAAATCATTGCTTTTGTGGCAGACTATGAGTTCTACTGACAGCACAGAAAAGAAAATATGAACTGTAACATACAGGAAAAAATAGGGAAACAGATAAGATATTGCAGACTTCAGCTTTATTGGAGATAATTTATGTTATACAGAAGACTGGAGAAGATAAGTCAACTTGCATAGGGGTATAATAATAAGAACCATGCCAATGTTTACCGCATTCTGAATAGGGATTGTGCTAAACTAAGGATGATCTCATTTTATCCTCAAACAACCTTAAGAAGTAAGCCCTTCAACATATAGATTTTACAGAAGAAGGAAGAAAGGCTTAAAAGGGTTAGAAAACTTGTCCAAGATCACAAAGCTAGTAAGCAATAGGATTGAAAAACTTACTCTAAATCACAAATTTTTTTTTTTTGAGTTGGAGTCTAACTCTGTACCACTGCAGCCTCGACCTGCTGGGTTCAGGTGATCCTTCTGCCTCAGCCTTCCAAGTAGCTGGAACTACAGGTGTACACCACCATGCCCAGCTAATTTTTTAATTACTGTAGAGATGCGATCTCATCATGTTGCCCAGGCTGGTCCCAAACCCGTGGGCTCAGGCAGTCCTCTCACCTCAGCCTCCCACAGTGCTGGGATTACAGGCATGAGCCACCGTGCCCGGCTTAAACCCAGTTTTTTAATCTACCACGCTACAGGACAGAATATTGTTAAGTATAGGAATAATGTGACGGGAATAGTGCTTTGGTAAGAGACTAGAGAAAATAAGTGCAATAAAGGCCATATTAAGTTACTGGGCAATTCAGGCATGGATGAGGAAATCCAGGGCGAAAACAACGGCAACAGGAATGGGGGAAATGAGACACTACTTGTACCTTACCTTGCACTTTGTAAGTTCACAAACTTTATAAGATAAACTTCAGTAAAGTCTTCTGCTGGGTATTCATCTAGCGCATTATACTGTTCAATGGCACCATACAGTGCAAATCGCTCAACTAATTCCTTCATCGCTCCCACTGCAGGAACTCCTTGTATTAACAAGTACTGAGATTCCAAATTGATTGTATATACCTAAAAAAAATGCAGGCCCGTTAAACATATTTTGCAAACAAGGCTAAAACAATTCTGCTTTACATTTTTTTCTTTTTTCTGAATCGAAGTCTCACTCTTCACCCAGGCTTGAGTGCAGAAGCCCGATCACTGCTCACTGCAGCCTCAACCTCCTGGACTCAGGAGATCCTTCCGCCTCTGCCTCCTGAGTAGCTGGGAGTACAGGCCCACACCACCACGCCTGGATAATGTTTTTTTTTTTTTTTTTTGGAGAGACGAGATCTCGCTATGTTGCCCAGGTTGGTCTCGAGCCCCTGGACTCAAGCAATCCTCCAGTTTCTGTCTCCCAGAGTGCTGGGATTACAGGTGTGAGCCATCTCACCCGGTTCCTAGAGTCCTCAAAAAACAACAAAACAAAAAGCAGTATACCTAATCCTGAATTGTACACCCTATCTTTAAAATAATAAAATAAAACAGAGCTTTGAAAGCAATACATAATCCGTTCAACCTTGCGAACAAAACACACAAAATTTCTGCCACTTCCTCTGCATAAAGGATAACACAGTTCGTGTGCTCAGGCAGATAACAGACGGCCTTCGGTCGACATGCCTCCAGACGACGGAAGCCACAGGGAAGAGCAGGTCAACGACACTCAGTGAGCGCTTCTGCGTGCCGAACGGCGCTGTAATCACTGAAGCCCTGTTTCCGTGGAGCTGATGTTCCAACAACTGGCCTCCTGCACCTGACCCGGGCCTCCTGACGCCACCTCCAGGGAAAGGCGGATCCGACAGCTGCTCCCCGTTCCCTTATTTACACGGGCTGATCGTGCGGAGCCGCGCTCACACAGGGCCGTCGAGGACGGCGAACGAAACAAAACCCCTTTACCTTGACGGCGCGAGGCCGCCGTCCCTCCCGATATCTGGCCCGCGTGTCGCACACCGCTCTCTGAACGTGATGTTCGAACGATCCCCCAAGCACTCCGCTGCTCGACGCCATCTTGCCAGCCTGAGTCCCCGCAGAGAGGACAACATCCGCCGCGCCCAACTCCGCACATCCAATAAGAGAGCGGCATGGGTCACGACGAGCCGTGATTGGCTGGAAGATCGACGGCGGAGGACATCGTTTCCTGCGGGCGAGGATTCGGTGAGCGCGGTGCCGCCCCCTAGCGGCTCGGCTCAGCGGCCGGTGTGGCGGATCTAGCTCGTCGTCCCGCAGGCGCGCGGCAAGAGGAGGGGCGGGGCCGTGGGGCGAGGCCGATCGATCATTTCGGGCCCCGACGCCTCGGCCTGTCGGGCCGGCCAGCCTCGGCCCTGGGGTGGGCGGCCGCGAAGCGTCGTCACGGCACGATGTGGGGCGGCCACGGCTCGGCGGGCGCGGAGGGCGGCGGGGCGGCGGTGACAGTGGCCTTTTCCAGTGCTCGCGACTGCTTCCTC